CAAGCAGCCCTTGTCGAATGGCAAGGAAAAATCAAGAAGTTGCTTTGTGCAGTGAAGTCAACCAAGAACTTTCAGGTCAACGTTTTCGAAGAACTCGAGCGTGCAGTCTCTGACATTGGCAAGTCAGTAGAAACTTCTTTACAGTCTTGTGTCAACTCACAGGCAGTTGATGAGGCAACAAGATGCCTTCGGCTAGTGGAGCTAAAGTTGTTGACGCAAGATGGCACAGGTGGCCTGACTACAGAGATTCTGAAGGAGTTTGGTGAGCACATGGAACAAGCTGGCTTGATGAGCTCTGTCCTTGGCGACAATGGTTGTATCTTGAGGAAGGGCCTGTCAATTGTCAACTCTGCTATCCATGGCCGATATGGACTCTGCGTCTTTGGAACTGCTGTTGGGGATGACAGCAAAGAGATGAAACAAAAAATCACGTCAGGTGAAACCAATGCCGTCAAACACTTGATGCCTTTGATGAAATCAAATGAGACGGACAAGCTGCGGGCAGATCTTTGTGAATGCTTGACCTTCATGAAGTACCATCCGGAAGGGGACAAGTCCATTGAGGATTTGGGAGGCTTCATTGTGGATCAGATGAAGAAGCTTTGGGCTGATGCCAAAACTGTGATGACAAACTGGGGTCATTCCTTTCATGACGAGTATGTCAAAGCCAATGACTTTGCATCGTCTCTTCAAGTGCCTGACAAGGTCGCCAAGCTTTCAGAATCGGCAGAGCTGGCAAAGATTCAGCCTGATGTTGCAAAGATGTTTCCGGAACAGACGATTCGAAAGGCAGTCGAGATTTGCGACATCATCGAGAAGCTGATTTCCAGGCTCGAAAGCTTATCCAAAGATGTGACATGCTCACCGGGAGAGATATTTGACATGGGCAAGCTCGTGGCTGTCAGACATAATTGCTGGACATGGCTGTGATTTGTCTGTATTGCTAGTCATGTTTTTGTTTGTGCCACGATCGGTCGACACTTCTTATTTTGTTTGTGCTCCTTCTGCACTCCTGGCTCTTGATATTCAAACTCAGGTCGACTGGCAACCTTCTGAGTTGCATGTGCTCAAAGGCTGTTGTGAGGAGCATCGCTGCTTCAAGCGGCTTGGGTGACAAACCACTCAAGCTGATCAAAGACGCTTTGCATGTTGCGCAAGACAAAGGGCTGGAAATACCGCCAGGATTGCAAGCGATTGCCACCAAACTCATTGGCAAAGCTTGATCCATCTATGTAGTCTTGTTGATTCCCGTCAGTCCACATCAGACTGACCGTGATGTTGTTTTAGTAAATTTCAAGGTTTGTGGCCCGAAAGGGCAAGCCTTCCCATCAGTTCTTGGGGCTGTACAGTGGGTATGCTGCTAAGACTCTAGACTCTACACACTGTAAGAGTATTGAATATTTTTATGTTTGATTCCCAATTCCCAGAATTCCTCGAGAACTTTTTTCTGCAATAGGCAGCCAGGCAAGATCAAGTATCACTTGGGCTAGTTCTGAGTCCACCCAAAGCAATATGGCGCTTGGGTTGGAGCAGCTGTTGGAGCTTGGGCCGGACCAGTTCGACCAGGGAGCATAGAAGAAACACTTACTCCGACTGCTGCTCAAGCTTCCTGTTCAGGCTGTTCAGGCATGCACGCACACATACGTTAGACTCAGACTGACTTTGGACTCTTCAAACTTCAATCTTCAGACTTCAGATTTCAATAGGTGTAACTGTAGGACTATCTGGCTCGAGATTCCGTGCAAAACGGAGAACATCTCACTCATTATGGGCAAGCGTGGTACCTCATCTAGCTCACCCAAGCCTACCACCCAAGGCAGCTATGCCTATGCCGCCTGTGTCGTCAGTCTTGAGAGAGGGTGAGTGTGATGTTGTTGTGTCCGGTTGTCTTGCTGCGGAAGCGAGCAAGCCTTCTGCGTCTGCCACTCATTCGGAAGCCCTTTGGCTGAGTTGCGCTTCCATGTTTTCATTTGAATCGGTGATGGCCATTTAGCTGTAGACGAGTTCGCTTGCGATTCAGACTTAGACTTAAACTTTGACTTCTCTTTTCTACGTGTGGGGTTTCAGCGGGCATGGTGGCATTCAGGAACAACACCTTGCCCCTGAAGAAGAGGAGGAAATATTGGCGGCTCTTGCAGATGCGCTTGATAATCCAGGACGCTTCCCTTTATCTCGCCACAGTTAACTAATCGCCGTTGAGTTGCCGCGTGCGCACACATGTTGCAGACTGTGGATGTATGCAGGACAAGAAGAGACTGAGACATGCGCGGCTACTACAGCTACCAATGTTGCTGATGCTTCTGCTGTGACTGCCAGTACTGATGCTCAGGCTGATGAGGTGAAGGTGAATTCGTGTGAACCAGAGAAAGCAAAGGCTGGTGAGGTGAATGTGAAATGTGAACCGTGTGAACCAGAGAAAGCACAGGCTGATGAGGTGAAGGTGAAATGTGAACCGTGTGAACCAGAGAAAGCAGTTGATGGATCAGCAAATGCTCAACCGGATGATGCGTCTGAGATTCCACCTCCGCCTCCAACTCCATCTGCGGAAGTGGAGGCTGGTATGATGGACGAGGGTAGCGAGATGGATGATAATGCTGATGATGTCATGGAAGATGATGATGATGCTCACAACCTGACCCATGATGGTGGTGATACGCCGTTTGATGAGCTACCTTTACTGGAGCAGTTTGCCGATGACAGGTTCTTAGATCTTGAAGAGTCTTTAGCTGTTTCACATTGTCCTGTCTTTCTTGTAGGTCTGGTTGCTACTTGTGACTGTTGAAATGTGCGACTAGGAATCGTTGGAGCTCATCATCAAGAAGTATGGGGGTGATACTTTGGAGATGAGTTTGATTTCCTTACCGCGGACTATCCGGTTGATGTCAGCATGCTCTGGTTCAGGTTGTTTCGAATTGGCTACACATGCGGCATTGTGTGAGATCAACCGCCGTTTCAAGCGATTCAGAATGGAGAACCAAGACACTGATCCTTTCCACTTCAAGGCGCGCTCACTGTCACCCATGTGTCACAAGTCACATATTGTGGCATTTCGTTTGACCAAACCGAATTTGAATTCCGATTTTTTGCCTTGCAGGTGTCGACCAGTTTCCTCTGCGAAATTGTTCCCAACAAACAGAAGTTTTTGTTGGAACATGTGATCAAGCACCAAGTTGAGACGGAGGAGGAGAGAGCAACATATTGTCACCAGCCAGATCTACAGCGTGGTAGTTAGTAAGCTCAATGGGTTGTTTCTGTTTTTTGTCAGGAGACGCCGTGTCTGTTTGAAAACATCATCAACCTCAATGATGGTGAAACGCGACGATGCATTGTACACTCTGCTGCCTGTGTCACTTGTTTTTTGACAAATCAATGTTGCACGTTTGGCAGCTCTTGTGTGATTTGATGCGATACACGATGTGCTCCCTAGTTGTTTGTTTACGGCCCAGGAATTGGATCGTTTTGATCCAAAGAAAGGAGATGCGGATGATTTGTCTATCTTTGCTGCAGGCTTCAGCTGCAAGTGGCCTGGCAGTCGCTTTTGGAGTCAGTTATACTTTGTTACTTTTTGGGATTGAACTTGCTATAGTTGGGAATTTGAGCAAGGTCCTTTTCCAAGATGAACATCAATTTCACAGAACTCCGCACTGCCCTGGCTGACCAGAAGGAAACTTGTCGTTAGTCACAGTCAAACGAACCAACAAGCAAGATCTTCTGAACTTCTGACTGAAGAATTGCTACGCTGACACTGTCACTGTTGGTTGGAGTTGGCATTATGAAAGAAAGATACATTAACAGGTAGTAGTAACATAAACATAAACGGGCTTAGGAATGTAGCTCCTTGGCTACCTTCCGTGGGGTGCTTCACATTGTGCGAGAATGTCGGCCTCGCATAGTGTTGCTCGAAAACGTGGACAGTATAGACTCTTCAGTTGGCCAAAGTGATAGCAGCGATAAAGAGTTCGATGCCCAGAGAGCTAATTGAACTTACGCTGCTTGACATGTCTTTTTTGTGGGAGCAGTATGAACTCAGTCAGTTTAGCCTAAACCTGCTGTTAAGTTGACCCAGGGCGAAATCGAACCTACAAGTGGTTTTGACCCAGATCTCCGAGCTTGGATACAGCTGCAGGGCAGAGAAACTGAAGGCATCTGAATACGGAGTTCCGCAGCGCCGCACCAGGTACTATTTTGTATGTGTTCGTCAGAACGGTGGAAGCGCACTATCAGAGCCAGCGGATCTGTTGGTTGAACGGATCATGGATCGGGTTCTGTCATTACGGCGTGAATGCAGGCACAACCCAGTCTGAGCCCCAATATATCCTCCGACTCCACCCCAGTAAATTTGACGCTTTTTGTAACCTGCCTAGTACCCATTGCTCCCATGTTCTGAGGACTACTTCTTGCTACCTGATTCGCATGGACTTGTCCAAATCGAGCTCAACCGACGTGTCGGCAAGAAGAAGGACGGTGAAGCAAAAGACAAGGCTGCGTGGCCAGAGCAGCATAGCGCTCTAGCGGAGAAGTGTGTCTCGTCGTAAACATATTTTATTCAATTAGTGTCATTCATTCATGGAATTATTCATTCAAGGATAGTCAAGTTTTAATATGTTTCGTGTGTCCGAGATGGCGTGCAATGGCCACTACAACCTAGCAAAGAGCTTGCGTCTTCTGTTTGGTATGACGTCCTACCTGACAGGGAAAAGGAGGCACGTCTTTTCCGTTCAAATGATTTCGACTACTGTATTTCGTGTCTATGGGCCAACTAATACTACTGGAATATAATAGCATTCCGTCAATTGTTGACCGGAGGTGCTGTGCTTCGTCAACATCATGAACGAGCGCATCACCAACGTTGATGACAAGATTCAGTATGTGGACATTTCGCAATCTGCAACGCGTCTACCAACCTCGACACGTGGTTCTCAGGCTTCAATTCCGTCTTCGAACAACATGATTTCACTGTCAGTTTATTTCGAGAATGTTTTAGTTTTGACTAAAACCTGTCAGGTCACGCCAACCATTTTGCCAGGGTCAAAACTCTGGCACGTGGGTCGGAAGCGCTTGTTGTTAGGACGGACTCTCACTTGACTCCACCAAAAAGACCACAGCAGTATAAGGCAATCAACCCAATATCATATTATGGACTGGAATTGAAAACTGCAATAGACATAAGACGGTATATAGCAAGTTTCCGATGAATTATTTTTTTTCCCATGAAACAGTTGCCATGCAGGAACAGAGCTCATGGCTCTTCAAGGGCTACCAATGACGGAGTTCCCAGAGAACATCTTGACAACTTTGTCACAGAAGCAGTGCGCAGACCTTGCGGGAAACATGTTTCGTACTTGGAAACGAGGGAAAACAAAGAGTATAGGATGTATAGGCTATATTAATAGCATCACTGCATCGAAACCGAAACACATAGCAAAAAGAAAAGGTATCGGCCCGTTTCGGCTTAGGTTTGCAGTTCCTTGTGTGATGGCAGTTGTCATGTCGGCTTTGTCCACTCTCCGTTTCGAGACGTACAGTGAAGAAGAAGAGCTGGATGCAGTTGCAAGCTCAATGCAGAAATGGTGCAAGAGCTAAATTTTAGTGTTTGACCTTAGGGCGACTCGCGCTTGGGGAGCGCGAGTCGAAAGACCCAGCAAAGCGTTCAAAGCATCAAAGATGCATAATCGCACTGTTTTGCAGGACACAGACAAACCATTCCTGCAAGTGCCGCGCAAAAAAAAGGTGATTTCAGTACTTTTGTCCCTTCACTTCAGTCATTTTCACTCCCAACCTAACTTACTAACTCTGTGAGTTGTGAGAGGTGACCTTCAAACAAAAATCAGCCTCTCAGGAAGCTCACATGACAGTCGACCAATGAGTTCTACCATGCGCACCACGCATGCTTCTGCGTACCATCACCCGCACCAAACAACCGTACCTTGCACCTGTACCAGTACCTGGACACGTACCGAACAAGCGTACCCACACCCGCACCCGCACCCGCACCCCCACCCGCACCCCAACCCGTACCTCTTATCGTACCCCATCTCCGTACCTACCCAGGGTTGCCGATAGAGCACATCTCTTGGAAATAGCTAACTTATGACAACAAAGAACCCACTATTCGAGGCTCACTGGACCTTACAGCCACACAGGTGGCGCAAGCCACGATAGTCTTCCAGCAGGCGCTTCTGCCCCACCCACTGTGGTTAGGCCCGCTACCGGTCTGTCTCGCAGAATACCATCAAGGCAAGGTGAGGCGCTTACGTCTCGTCTTAGCTGCTCTGACGCACTTGACCAAGGCGGAAATTGCTAGCCTGCGAGAAGGGCCCCGCCTGCCTGGTGGAACGGTCTTGCATGACCTCGTCTATGGTTACGCAGTTGATGCTTCGCCTGAGCCGGAGTGGTTGGTCATAACAGATGGGCAGCAGCCAGGACGTTGGCGACTCCTTCACAATAGCTTTGGCCCAGGGCAAAGGTGCAGCGTAGGAAGCTCCCTGCGCTATCAACCAACGCCATGCACCGGCGAACAGCGCAGTGCACAGGATTACACCCTCGAAGCCTTGCACCGAGTGTACTTTTATGACGCATGGAGAGTACAGCCAGTCCTGGATGCCCCCGGGTCTGAACTCGTCCTGCCGCCGCAACCGGGCCTTTTAGTGCACGGCTGTTATTGGCCTCAGCCAAGTGCAACACCTGATGTCCTCTCTGTCTCTGACCGTGTCACAGAAGAAGAAGAACGCGGCGTACAAGCGGGACAGCCCGTGTCCTCTCCTGCGGCGACAGATGCCACGATGGCCGACGAAGAAGCAAGTGAAGCAGTCTCTGTCCACAGCTCCTCCTCAGAGTCGCCTACCATGCCGAGCGCAGTGCAGCCGGAGGAGGACGACGCGCACATGGAGGACAGTGACAGTGCTACCACCTCCTCTGCAGATGAGGGTGATTGCCTTAGCAATCATCCGGCCTCCCCCGAAACACGTCCAGCGCAAGACGAAATGGTGGCAGCAGAAGATGAGGTAAGCAGTACGCTGCCCCCGCAGGGCGTGGACCCCCAAGGTAACAGCCCCACATCGCACTTCTCTGAGTCCCCAATCAAACGAAGACCGGAGTCTAAGGCTAGTGCAGGGAGAGCTCAGTCCAAAAAGCTACGGCAATCACTTGCTCCAGCATCCAAGCAACCGCTTGGTAGCATCCCTGAACACGAACAACCACCGGCCACACTGGCAGACCTCGCCAGTCGGAATGCTCAAAGGCAGGAGGCTCCCGTTTGCAGGAACCCCAAGACACCGCCTGACCATCCAGGATCAATGCAAGAGCGCCCACACGCCATGACAGAAATTGATATTGCCAGTGATCAAGGGCATGCAGAACGAGGAGGCACTGCTGCCACTGATCTCCAGCTGGAATCTGAGCAGCGAGCCATGCAGGCACTATACGACTATCAAAGTGCGGCTCGAGCAGCCAGAGAAGCGGACGGACAAAGTGTGCCGCTCCCCTCACTGCAGATCTACAGTGACCTGCCTAGGGAATGGCCGATGGCGAGGCTTGCAATCTCCAACAAGCAAATTAACCGCCTCGTCCGTACATTCCTCTGGAGGCGGGTAACAGAAAAAGCACTCCATGGCTCCTCCTTTGGGGACATTCCAGACGAAATTAACCAAGGCTACATAGGAGACCTTCACCGTATAAGTGAAGCTTTTGCTGCTCCCGGAGGTGGCCATCATGGTCTTGGAGGGCACGATCGTGGTCTCTCGTCAGTGGGTGCACTGGGGAGTGGTCTGGGTGGAAGCTGTTCAGGTTTCCCTGGGGGTGGAGAAGGACCACCTGGCGGGGGCTATCGTGGTGCTCCTGGGGGTTTTCCAGCTGGAGGAGGAGGCTTTCCGCGTGGAGGCCCGGTTGGGGCTTTCCGGGTGGAGGACCGGGTGGAGGCTTTCCTGGAGGAAGACCAGGCGGGTGCTCCCGGCGGTGGACACCCAGCGCGCCCTTTCATCACTCAAAAACAGTTAGCCCTTTATGCAAGCCCTCGTTTCTGGCAGTATGGCCTGCTTTCCTTTATCGCAAGGTGCTGTTCCTTTGATAATCAACACAGACACCAGGGTACAGGAACAGCTCAGGCAGTGGCTGTGAAGCCACAGAAAACAAAGGAAAAAGATGTCGATGCCCTCACCTTTATGCAAACGGTCATCATGTCCTTTGTTAGGGGAATGGAGTATGGTGAGCAAACGCTACCCACCAATGACCTCTTTGTCTATCTCCCGGTGCAGATCCTGCCTGACTTGGTTGTAGCCATGGAGCGGCAGGGCTTCACGCCCGCGCAAGTGAAAGGGGGCTACGGCTACCGACCCAAAGATGAAGAAGCTGAAGACAACCCTCTGCTTGTTGTGGGAGTGCACACCAAAAGAAATTGCTTACGACCGATACCCCCAAATGCCGGATACGTCCTGGGCTGAAAGAGCTTACTCTTGTGGTGCCCTTGACCCGTCTTTAGGACAAGCTATCTCGTTTCCTTCCCTTCTACAGCTGAGGCTGCGCATTGAAGTCCCCTTGTGGAGAGACCTGGCAACTGCCAGACACCCCTCTGCAGACTTGCCTGCAGAAGAGGACTCTGCCTCTGATGCTACCGGGTCAGCTGAGCGATCGCCCAGGTTTGCGCTCCCGGTGCCAGTGGGGACTGCTGAACCACCAGAAGCTGGTACGGAGGAAGCAACTGAGGAAGAGGACATGGCAGCAGAACCCAACTACGCCTTTGCCAAGGGATACGGACGTTTCGGCATAGGCTATACCAGGCTAGCAACGGCGCTCGGCAATTTTGAGCAAGGGAACATCCAAGCAGAAGGTACAGTAGTAGCTCAGTGGCTGACCTCCGGGCTAAGGGTTGCCATGTCCCGCACAGGGTGGAATCTGCTGTCTCCCCGCTATACGCTGACCAGAATTCCCAGTACTCTCCTCAGTAACCTAAAATGGAAGATCGCCCGTATAACCAATATGGCCAGTACCTCTACACAGAAGGCCGATGGGACCAGCTCTGCGCATGGCTCACTGGAAACCCCACGTTTAGGAGGCAGCTCGCAGGCCACAAGCAGGCACTTAGGGACCAAATGGGCTACAGTCAGGAAGACTCCGATCCGCATAATAAAGCTCGCCGCACCGTCCCTCCTCCAGGAGAGGGAAGCTCCTCGTCTGCAGCAGGGTCTTCCTGTCACATCAGGCCTCCCCCACCGCCTCCGCCTTATGGGTGGTGGCAGTAGGGCGGTCTCTAGTAGGAGTCTCCGCACACAGTCACCGCCTCCTAGTAACTTGGACTCCTTCATGAGATGGGTGGCCTTAGCCACCCTACTTCTTGTTGTCGGAGTATTTTTATTTGTTTTCGAAATGACCGCATGTTCGCTACCTCAATTGTTTGGCCCAAGCAACTCGAGCAAGAACGTTCGGACTGCCGCCTACAGCGACAATGCCGCTTGACCAAGACCGATATGAGGTCAGCATTGATTTGGTGACGATAGCAGGCACGGAATATGCTATGCAAACAAATCTCGCTCAGTATGAGGACGTGGCAGAGCTGGAAGATGACATTCTCTGCTTTCTGCCAACAGTCTCTGATTTGGATGTCTTTGGCTGTGAGCTGGACCTGCTCGACCTTCACACGCAGCGACCCCTGCCAGTTCCACACGGTGCTCCTGCAACGGCCGAAACTACAAATCGTAGTACGTCCCTGCATGGTAGATGGACACTCCATCTGGCAGTTCCAGGCTGACGGTAGGGAAAGCTACCCCAAGGCTATACGCGTCCCGGCCAACCCGCATGGAGAAATTGCTGACAGAGCCTTCTATGCTGCACCCGTGCTCCGGCACGTAGAAGTGGCAATGGGCATTCAACATGTAGGAATCGCGGCCTGGCAGAGTTGTCAGCAACTGCAAATTGTCAAGCTCCCACCCTCTGTCATAAGTCTTGAAGATGGGACCTTCCAGGGGTGCTACGTGCTGCGAGAAGTGGCCGCCCCAGGATGTGTCCAGTACAGCCGAAGAGTGTTTGCGGAGTGCTGCTCCCTTGGTCGAGTTGGTGTCAGTCACGAAACGGATGACAGTAATGTCCTTGCACCAGGGGCACAGCTAGGCAGATATGCATTTGAGAGTTGCCTCACACTTACACCCATCATCTTTGTCATGGACCACGCCAATAAACCTCGAGCGCTGCCTGAAGGCGCATTCTGTGGAGCAGGCATTGAACAGCTCTGTTTGCCAGGTGACTTTCACAATATCGGGCCACGGGCCTGTGAAAACTGCAAAGGACTTGTGGAGGTCAACCTCATGTGCACAGAAATCACAGCCCTGCTCCACTCCACCTTTGCCCACTGCGTGGCTCTGAATTGTATATGGCTTCCGCCGCGACTAACGCAAATTGGCAAAGAAGTTTTCCTTAATTGTGTTGCGCTCCAAGAAGTGGTCATCCCGACAGAGCTCAGTGACATAGGCATCCGTGCTTTCTGTGGGTGTGAGCAACTGCAACGATTTACGCCCCTAGATTGGGGGGAGATTGAACAGTCGGTGCAGGCAGAGCACAATGCTTTCTTTATGTGTGACAAATTTGAAAGACCA